ACAAATTTAGGCGGGAACTTCTGTTATGACAGCTCAGCTTTTCCTAACAAACTTTGGCGCCTAAAGTGTTGCTTCCATCAGCTTCCATTGACTCTGAAACTCCCCCTTAAGATGGATGATGCAAATCGATAACAGCCATCTTGGAAAGTAATGAAAACAAATTTGACGTGGGCAAAGGCTTTGTGAAGATATCAGCTAACTGGTGATTAGTGCAAACCGGTAACAATTTGATGAAACCATCATTAATTTTATCTCTAAAAAAATGGCAGTCTATTTCAATATGTTTGGTCCTCTCGTGAAAGGTAGGATTTGTGGCAATATGGACCGTTGCCTGGTTGTCACAGAAAATAAGTGCAGGAACTTCAGATTTCATGTGTAGATCAATAAGCAACTGATGAATCCATATCAGTTCACTACCAGTAGAAGCCAACGCTCGATACTCAGCTTCGGCAGAAGACCTGAAAACGGTGTTCTGTTTCTTGGCTTTCCAGGACACCATAGAATCCCCAAGAAAAACACAAAAGCCTGTGATGGATTTTCTTGAATCTAAGCAAGACCCCCAATCTGCATCAGCAAATGCTCGCAGCTAAAGCGAAGATCCAGCAGAAAACAAAAGACCTTGTCCAGGAGTACCCTTGATGTATTGTAGCAGATGATGAACTGCCGTTAAGTGAGGTTTTCTAAGCTGAGAAACAAATTGACTAAGCTTATGCACCGCAAACGTGATATCAGGCCTAGATATGGTGAGATATAGCAATCTTCCAACCAATCTTCTATACATGGAACCATCTTTCAACAACTCCCCCTCAAAGCAGTTCAAACGAACTTTGGGATCCATAGGGATGGCAGTAGGCTTGCAGGCAAGAAAATCGGTATCCTCCAGTAACTGAAGAGCATAATGTCTTTGAGATAAGACAATACCTTTATGGGAACGAGCAATCTCTAAGCCAAGAAAGTACTTGAGCCTGCCCAGATCTTTTAGCTTAAATTGTCGATGCAAGGCTGCTTTCAAATCATTAATAACTCCCAAGTTAGATCCAGCTACTACGATATCATCCACATAAACAAGAAGGGCAATAAAGCTGGTTCCAGCACCTCTAGTGAACAAGGAATAGTCAGACTTAGACCGGTGAAAACCTTGAAGTAAAAGAGCCTGGGAAAATTTCGAGAACCACTGTCGTGATGCTTGTTTTAGTCCATAGATGGACTTATGTAGTTTACAAACCAATCGCTCCGCCTGTTTGGAAGGACTGGGAGGAACATAACCCAATGGCAAGTCCATATAGATCTCCTCAAACAAATCACCATGAAGAAACGCGTTGTTGACATCCAACTGAACAATATGCCAATGATTAATGGCAGCAACTGCTAATAAAAGCTTCACAGTTACCAGCTTGGCCACTGGAGAATAAGTCTCTAAAAAGTCAAGTCCCTCTTGTTGGGTATAACCTTTTGCTACCAACCGTGCCTTGAAGCGATCAATAGTCCCATCAGATTTATATTTAACCTTGTAAACCCATTTGCAACCTATAGAATGCTTTCTCGCAGGTAAGTTGGTGATAGACCATGTTTTATTCTGCTCCATGGCTGATAACTCAGCTGACATGGCATCCTGCCAATGAGGGTGTTGCGCGGCCTGGTGATAAAATTGAGGCTCAGTGTGGGCTGAAATGTTAAGAAGAAGATGGTTATGAGGAGAAGAAAATTTGTCATAAGTGATATAATCGCTTAAAGGGTAAAAGAGGGATTGATGTTTAGGAGAAGAATCATAATGAGATAGAAGGTTGCAATGAAAATCTCATAAGTATGATGGAGGTTTGTTATGT